GCTGGTATTGAGGCAGCGTGAGAATACAGGCTACGTTGTAGCCTTCTGCCGATTCTTTCTCTTTGGAAAAGTAGCCCACAAAATGGCAGCCGTGTTCGTCGCGCGTGCACATACAGTAGAACAGAAAAGGGTCGACGTCGTAGTAGAGTGTCTTGTGATCCAGGAAGAGTTTCGAAAGTAGACAGAGATTTCGACACCACGTCCGCTGCCGCCTCCCGTCAATCTCGAAGAAGGACACATAGTCGTCTCGGTATATCTCGTTGCCAGGCGGGTGGAGCAGGTGGCACTTTGTGCGGTGGCGTTCGAACTGCGTTACTTCACCATAGTACCCAAGGCAGAATTCGCAGATGTAGACTACATCCGAATCGACAAAGTCGACTGGGTAGGGTGAGAAGTACCAAGGCTCGACCTCGAATTTGCCCATCTGGATCTTTTCTAAGTTACGCACCCGCGAAATCTCGGTCTGGTTCTGAGTCATAGACCCGGATGTGCGTAGCTTCTCGATTTCATCTTCTCTCGAGTAATCCTGGGGTGGCATGGCCTTGGCTGCTGCGGCGGCATCCTGCACGTCGACAAGGTCCATCTCCTCATCCTCGGGTTTCGGTGTGCCATCGGTGACTTCGCTGGTGACTATGAGTTCTTGGTTTTCCTTGCCACTTGCTTTGGACGGCTTCGGTGCTTTCCCTGGCAGATTGCTAGACGTCGATTCTGGAGTGCCTGAGATCTCACGATCAAGTTTGCTGCGGGATCGCTTGAGATTCTTCTGGTCAGACTTTGAGGGCGCCTTGTCGGTCTTAACGGCAGTGCCCTTCTTCTTGTCTGCTTTCTCGGGCGCAGGCCACTCAACCTCTCTTGACAGATCTATCCGTTCGGCTTCGATCCATTCATCCAGACGCTTGTTGAACTCTTCATAATGAACGTAGAACTTGGGCCTTCCTTGCCTGGTTTGGATCGACAGAATTTCAGCTTTACGCTTCTCGCCATCCTGTAAAGTGTTAGTCTAAGTACCGACTAGCTATTGATGTTGCTGTTTTGATGTTCATGCGGCTGGGGTTTGCATCGCGCATCGCGAAGTTGCGCGCTATTCACGTACCTTCTCAACCCACGCCTTCACGCCAGTCCTGCACGCAGCGCGTCAGCATACATATACAAACTGTGCGCATGTTGTCGCACTTACCTCAGCTGTGCAAGGGTGGCAAAGCCTGTTTCTACGGGTGCCGGCGTCCCAGAGGGCTCATGCGAGTTTTCTCGAGGCGCCATGGCGATGCGACACGCGTTTCTCGATACTGGTAGATTTTGGGATCTGTTGTGAGGTTTGATGTCGCGATGATGTTGGGGGTGCTGGTCTCAGTCGCGATGTTGCCGCCTGCCGATCGGGCCTTTGCGCGCGTTCGAGCCGACATCTGGAAGGTGCTAGCGCAGTTCTGAACTTTTGCTCGCGGGGACTGAGCGGAGAAGCGCAAACGGCCAACATCTTCGACAACCACTGACAGGACGACACTCACACCGCTATGACGCGCAGGTGACGACAACAACATGGCTCCAATCGATCCCAGCACTCTGTCCAGCAACTGGAAGATATTGCAGCAGCGACTCAAGACCTCAACGCCTGCGACACCTCCGAAGAATAAGAAGTTTGAAGACGAGAAGCAGTCTTCGCTCAAGCGCAAGCGACCTCAGCACGCCAATGGGAAGCACGGAGATGCATCACCAAAAGCTGTAAACGGCTCCCAGAAGAACACACCGCGAAAACCTCTGCCCTCGAGAAAGCGACAGAAGATGGAGGAGCCCGCGTCTGTCGGCGCTTCAGCCAAGCAGCACAACGCCAAAACCCTCTCCAAGAGCATCTCGATGCCCTCTCTCAAGAAGGCACCCCTTCTGAGCGATCCCAAGGATGCCGCCGCAGCCGTCTCCATCCTCGAACCACATCCCGACTTCCCCGACATCGAAAACGAAGGCGTATCAGAGGTAGCACTGCCCGGAAAATACGTCGCATTAGATTGTGAGATGGTGGGAGTTGGACCAGAGCCCAACCGTGACTCTGCGCTGGCAAGAGTGTCGCTAGTCAACTTTCACGGCCATCAAGTCTACGATTCCTACGTCCAGGTGCCCCGAGGCATCGAAGTTACCGACTATCGAACCGCAGTCTCTGGCATCGAGCCTAGACATCTCCGCAAAGACGTTGCGCGACCCTTCGACGAAGTACGAAACGACCTCAAGATCCTCCTCACCGGGCGCATACTCGTCGGTCACGCGGTGAAGAACGATCTCGACGTGCTCATCTTGAAGCACGACAAGCGCTTCATCCGCGACACATCCAAGTTCTCAAAGTTCAGAGAGTTGGCCATAATACCGGGGCGCACCCCAGGTTTGAAGCTATTGGCAGACAAACTCTTGGGTGTAGAGATTCAGGTCGGTGCTCATAGCTCGGTTGAAGATGCTAGGGCTACTATGGCACTGTTCAGGTTGGAGAAGGACAGCTTCGAGCACGAGGTCAGGCAGAAGTACGGCAACATCCGTCTCGACGCAGCTGGGCCAGAAGTCGACGTCGGCGGTGGTGATGAAATAAAGAAGAAGAGCCGGAATAGGAAGAAGAAAAAGAAGAGGAACTAGTAGGCTGAGACGTGTACTCTCACAGTTGCTATTGTTCTTGGTCTTGCTGCATTTACTTGGAGTCTTGCATGGCATGGATACCCTGAAAAGTTCACATGTATTTTTACATCTACTATTGGATCATGTATTGTCGGTAGCTTCTATGGCTCTGATCATGGCTGTTCTTGCAGCCCCCAATCTATCATATATTTCCTCTATGTGTATTTAGCAAATAGATCTCTTCCGATGAAGCCTTCTCGCGTTACAGTCCATGTCTGAGGCAGCCTCACCCCGAGACCGATAGTATTACACTGGAGTTTAAATGTGCAATTGAGGCCAGGACTTTTGCATTCCGGCTCGTCATGCACGTTGCTGACGTGCTAATGTTCTTAAATCCGCCAGGTGGTACCACTGGTATGCTATCTTCGTCAACTTCACCAGAAACTTTACTGGATTCTCTAAGCCGGTCCGAATTTGAGGAGGGCACCAATCTTGGCGTCGCCTGCACTCGTCCGACACGTGAAGCTTGACGATGTTTTGCTCGGACCTTAGCGGAGATAGCATCTACCATGACCAAATATCCCCACATTGAACGTGGGAAGCCTCGGGAAGGTGCCCCTCCACCGTCTTAACGCCATCCGACAAAGATCGGCCCCGACAACCGTCGGCAGTCTCGAACTTGGACGCAATAGACGAAGAGACCGAAGATGGACCCTGAGGTACTCCAGCGTAACACGTCATACGCATGTAAAGACTGAGGAGATATAAGAAGAAGCCATGTCCTGCATTGAACCCCTCACAACAACTCGCACTTCCATCACCAATTTCTAAACTCCACTACCTTTCCAAAGTTCCCCAACTACTTTTTCAAGATGCCTTCTCCATTCGGTGACGCACCCAAGGCGGCGTCCCTCCTGGACTTCCACCGCGTCATGTCGCCCACTGCCGGTGTTCGCGTTTCTCCCCTTTGCTTGGGAGCGATGAACTTTGGCGATGCGTGGGAGGGCATGATGGGCAAGTGCGACAAGAAGACCGTGTTTGAGATTCTTGATTTCTTCCACAAGCAAGGTGGCAACTTCATTGATACGTGAGTCTCCATAACTATGCTCTATTTGGGGACCTCGTGGTGAGATGGAAGCTAACATTGTCACAGCGCAAACAACTACCAAAACGAGGAGTCTGAGACCTGGATCGGCGAGTGGATGAAGGAGCGAGGCGTACGTCACGAAATGGTCATCGCCACCAAGTTTACCACCTGCTTCCCTGACCCGAACAACTCTCCTCGACAACGTATCAACTATGCTGGTAACAGCACAAAGTCTCTCCGCGTCTCGCTTGAGGCATCCCTCAAGAAGCTCCAGACTGATTACATTGATCTGCTGTACGTGCACTGGTGGGACTTCACGACCTCTATCCCTGAGTTGATGCAATCGCTCAATGCCGTTGTCAACTCTGGCAAGGTCCTGTACCTCGGAATCAGTGACACTCCTGCTTGGGTTGTCAGCAAAGCCAACGAATGTAAGCATCGTCATATGGCAAGCTTTGGCACCTGTGACTAACGAGATATTTAGATGCCCGCAACCACGGCCTCCGTGGCTTCAGTGTCTACCAAGGTCGCTGGTCCGCAGCCGAGCGCGACTTTGAGCGTGAGATCATCCCCATGGCACGCGAAGAAGGCATGGCTCTATGCCCATGGGGTGCCCTTGGTGGGGGTAACTTCACCACCGAAGAGAAGCGCAAGAACAACGAGCAAGGTCGTAACTTTGGCCCTGCTTCTGAGAAGCACATCGCAATCTCCAAGAAGCTCGAAGCGGTCGCCAATCAAAAGAAGACTCAGGTCACTAGCATCGCCCTGGCCTACGTACGCCACAAGTACCCCTTCGTGTACCCAATCGTTGGCGGTCGCAAAATCGACCATCTCAATGGCAACATCGAGGCGTTGGCAATTGAGTTGAGCGAGGAAGAGGTTGATGACATTGATTCCGCTGTTCCTTTCGAGATTGGCTTCCCGATGAACTTCCTCTTCGAGTTCAGTGGTAACAAATACAAGAACACCATGACCAGCTCGGATGTGGGTCTCCTGGCGTACGCTGGACCTCTGGAAAGTGTACCAGTACAACAAGGCCCTAAGCCACACCCGCTTCAGGGACACGGAGGCAACTAAGAGCCCGGAAGCTAGATATTAGATGTAAACTATAGCCGGGCCTAGAGCTTCATGCATGATACAAAATAGAAGTTCGATGATTCGATGTTTACTAGTGGTACTGATGTTTCGCTTCGTGGATGATTCCTTCCCAGTTAATTCTATCGTTGATGGAGACTCACCCTCACCTTCCGAGTAGGACCAATCAAAATCCAAGCGGGAGCCCCACTTACACACTCTTTGCACTTTCCAATTCGCTCGCTCAATGCAGCACAACACACATCACACCATGGACTCTCAACTTATCCCACTACCCGATTTCAGACTACCAGACCATCCAAACGCTACATTAAATCTCAATGGCTCCCCTCTCAGCATCATCGACCCATCCAGTCTCACTCTCGAGACCACTAGCGAAAACATTACCCCAGCAATCGGCCTAGCAACAGTCTTGTACAAATGGCATCCAAATGCACTCGCAGCCTTTCTAGACCTAGATGCCTGGTTCTCCTTAACATGGACCTTAAGCATCGCCGAAGGCACACCCGAAGGATCGAAAATCGAAATTGGACGTATAGGCAACCAAATCACTTTCGGCAGCCTGGACAGCAGCGGCGATAACTGGACGTTGATGCTTACCTACAACATCGTTCTAGAAGGCGAAGAGAGGGGAAAGTGGATACCGAACCCCAAAGAGAGTATGTTGGGTGAAAAAGATGTCACAGATCCGGAGGAGATTGAGAAGCTGGGTAAAGAGTTTGCGGAGAAGATTGTGAGGGCGAAGAGGTGGGAGACGGGGAAGAAGATGAAGCATAGGTTCTTTGTGGAGTATGCGCCCATGGATGTTTGGGGTGATGGGATACCGATGAGTCCGCATTGGCTGTACTCTTCTCTCGATCTTTCAATGTGTACGGCTTGTAAGAAGACGGGTGTTGCGTTGCAACGATGTGGAAGGTGTGGTACGTCGACGTACTGTTCGGATGTTTGTCAGAAAGGGGATTGGGCTGTGCATAAGGATGTTTGCAGTATGAGCATGGAGGATAGGGGACAGGCGATCAAGTTGTCGGAGAAGGGTGGGCTGATCAAGTGGGATGTGGAGAAGACGTATGCGAAGGAGGAGGGGGAGATGAGCGCGAATCCGAATTTTGAGACACCCCAGGTGAAGCGGAAGATGACGCAGATTACCGAAAGTAGTGAGAAGAGCGGATGAAGAGAAGAGAGCGATCCAATAGCGCGTCGGCCTCATTCGACAGCAGGGAAGAAGTAGGATTTTATTGTACCAAGAGATGCAAAGATACAGAATTATGAATTTGCAAGGCCTATCCGATTGATGTCTCCGGTCAACACATCGCTTACATACGTCTGCCGTTGTCAGATCCGATGTTTGAAAGTGCCACACTTTGTTCCACGTAAAGATGGACATATGCCCGAGAATTTCCCCTATCATTTATTCTGCTTGATGTTCCCCAGCTCAATAAGATTATATTAGTTTCTGCACCTTCCATCAATCCAAAAAGGGCTCTTAGTCCAGTGGTAAGACGCTCGGATGCAACGCTGGCTGGCACTTAACCGTGTCAGTAGGGGTAAAGAACCGGGCATACGCCAAGGTTTCGACCGTCGGCCCCAGGGTAGAGTAAAATCTCCCTTCAAGTCTGTAGCAGACTAGATGATGCAGTTTTCGAGAGACATGCGTTCGATCCGCATAGAGCCCGATGATTTTTGCGCCCTTAATCGCTCGGAATGGGCATCTTTTTCGCATTTGAATGTGCTTGATACAACTGTGCAACGACTGACCCCTCCTCCGGCCTGTGGCGAAGGGCTGGCTCGTGACAGCAGGTGAATACGTTCTTGATACTAATCATGTAGACTGGATGGGTATGTCTCCTATGATTTTGCTGCTTGCTTGCGGAGTCGTCTATTTTGTCCGTATACACCAAAGCGTGAAGCCTTCCAAATTGACCGCCATCTGCCAGGTAAAGGTGCGCATCCGAAGTGATGTTCTCAATTCGTCTGGGCGCTGAGACTCGCCCGAAACTCTCCACACCAATAGTTCTCGGTCTTAATACATCAGATTGTTCATTCCCTCATCTGGTAATAGACCAAGGAGCATTTGGTCTAATGGTATGACGCTCGTGCTAAACTTCCGTAGACCTTCTCAGGAGCGGGCACTTAATCGTGCCTTGGACTGTTGATATTGTTCTAGGTCCACTCTGTTTATAGTTGGTGCAATTCTGAAGCAGATGCGGTCAGAACGAGAGATCTAAGTTCGAGTCTTAGAATGCTCATCCTCTCTTTTTGCTTCGTTGGTGGATGTAGCGCGTGCCGTTTTGGTGGTAGGTCGGCATCGTTGTGGTCTCTCACTTTTTGGCCTCCTTCTTCTTTTCTTTATCCCACTCTTTTTGCTCCTTCATGAACCTCTCCTTCTTGTCCACGTAGCCTTGGTGCAGCTTGGCCTTCTCCCAAACCTCCCTAAAGATGATGCTAGCCTCCAGTTTCTCATCTTGCCCTTCGTGGCCCTTGCTTCGCTCTAGTTGCTCTCCAGTCTTCTTGTCGTACTTTCTTCCTCCAGCATGGTTTGCATATCTCTTTGCCCTGGTCATTCCCATCTGCAAGAACTTGCGGGACATGTCCATGCCAACAAAGTCATCGTTCTTGTCGTACTCCAGAAACTTTGCGTATATCTCAGACGAGGACTTTTGCGCGATGGCAGGTGTTTTGAAACGCCATAATGGAAGTATTTCCGACTTGTAGGGCTCGAATGTTAAAACACCTTGTTCGCCGCGGCCTATGCGATAGCTCATCCGCTGGGCTTTTGTTAGAGGTTCCGAGGGCATCTTGATCGCGTTCTTGATCATTGACTACTTTCTTAGATGTTGGTGATGAGTTCGAAAATGGTGGCAGCGAAGGGCCTGGGGCGGTGGTTGGCAAGGGTTCATGACGTAGTGGGTTCACGCTACGCGACGCGCAATCACGTTGCTTTCCCTTGCACTACCCAACACGCGTCAGGGTCTCGCTGCATGCACCAGAGCACTGTGATAAACTTTCTTGAAGCACGTCCTTCTGCTTCCTCACGAATTACAGAACAGCACTATGATAGACACACATGGGAGTGGATGTTGGGGTGTTCGGCCAGGACTTGGTCCTGCTTATATACAGTCTAATGCAAGCCTTTCTAATATCGCGGTATATGTACAGGTGGGTGGGTGCAGTCGTCACACTGGCGTGGCTGTCTTATCCCAGATATGTGGGCGCATGCAGCCGTGATACGTTTGTTTGTTGAATCTTCTCCCAGGCCTCCTGTTATTGATTGTCGTTCTTTCCCCGGGGCTTGCACACCATCTTCTCGACTCGTTGCAAGATGGTCAGTTGTTGCTCTTCTTTGCCCTCGTCATCTTGTACACCCAGCACCTGCCCAATCAGACCACCAGGCTTGGGCACTGGGCATTCCCTCTTCGCCGCCAATTTCTCTTCGATCAGGCGCTGCCTCCTCCGCTCCTCGCTCATGACGCCATTACAGCTTTCGTCTTCCGGCACTCTCCGCCGCCGTCTCCGCCTGTTCTCTCCTGTGGGGTCTGCGGAATCGGCGAGTGTGCGAGGGTCGACCGGGCAGGGTATCAGATGTGGAGCGGCGACGACGAGGAATGAGACCATGAGCGTCGTTCCAAAGAGTGAAGTCGTCATGCGCGACCGCGGGTGGAGGTGCGGAGGCATGTTGTGTGTGCGGGTTGAGAAATTAGAGAGCGAATTGCGGAGGCATCACTGGGCCTGGAGAGTTGTTAACAGCTGTTGGGTGGAATTGCGATAGTCGCCTAGAGCATACTGTGCCAATTGAGATGCCTCGAGCAGATGTGGACGGCGGGGGAGCGGGGTTGGCGGTGGTGATGGTGTTCTGGTGGAGTGAACATGGACGGCGGAGCTAGCTGGACGGGCTTGGACCGACATCCCTGCGCATTCGCATGCCCGCTGTGGATCTCTCGCCCTCGACCTCCACCAGCCCACCACCTTGACTTGTTACCTGCCACAGAGCTACCGCCCTTCAACATTCGCTATCTTCAGCTTAATAGTCCTAATAACTATCACATAGTCACGAGACCCGCGCATTCACTGCATCTGTAACGCGCCACACGCGTACCGCCACCGTCCGTACTGTTCGCGCCCACCAGAATCTTCCGTTACGAACAGCTTCGATAGCTGCAGACGCATTACGCACGCAATTGCCAACCGAAGACTTTTTACGTCCCGAAAGCCCTGCGCGGGCGTATAGCGCATAGCCGTCGCCATGAGCGCCGGTGGTAGCGACCTCGACAAGTATGGACAGCCACTCAGCCGACTAGCATACGTACGATATATGGGGCTGACACCGATCGCAGAGCTATCCAGCAGCTTCGCGCATGTCGTCCGATACCCGAGAATCAAGTCCGAGAGCTATGTTACAAGGCACGCGAGCTGTTGATCGAAGAAGGCAACGTGGTTGGGGTGGATGCGCCAGTAACGGTAGGCATTATACTGAGTTCGCACTTGGGCATGGCTAATCGCATGGCATTGCTAGATATGCGGTGATATCCATGGACAATTTCACGACCTGATGGAGCTCTTCCGGGTCGGTGGAGACGTACCGGACACGAACTACCTCTTTATGGGTAGGCCAACCGAATCACGCCATGCTGCTCCGCACTGACTGTATGCAGGCGACTTCGTTGACCGCGGTTTCTACTCGCTCGAATCTTTCCTCCTGCTCCTATGCCTCAAAGTCCGATATCCAGATCGGATAACGCTCATCAGAGGCAACCATGAATCTCGCCAGATTACGACTGTATACGGGTTTTACGATGAGTGCTTACGGAAATACGGCAGCGCCAACGTCTGGAGGTAGCTCGCAATATCGCGCTCTGGCTGTAGAGTCATGGCTAACACTGGCAGGTATTGCTGCGAAGTCTTTGATTACCTAGCCCTCGGCGCTCTCGTGCAAGGCGCCGCAACATCGCTCCAAGCCACCGATGGCCCCATAGCCGAGTCGAGCAACGCAGAGAACATGCCCGACATTGACCAAGACATCGAGATTGAAACGCTCAACGCGAACGGCGAGGTTATGTACCGCTACGCACGCAACTCAGACTCCCAGTCAAGCGCCGCCTCGCAAGTTAGCGCAAACATGGGCTCTTCGTCCCCCGTCGCCCCAACACCCGGACGAGTTGGCCCTGCAGGAACGGGTGCAACTTCGTCTGCCAACGGCTCAGCTCGGAACGATACCGGAGCGATTTTATGCGTACACGGAGGGCTGTCACCACTCGTCGACTCAGTGGATAAAATCCGGCTTTTGGACCGAAAGCAAGAAGTGCCACACGAAGGAGCTATGTGTGATCTTCTCTGGTCCGACCCCGACGAGATTGATGGGTGGGGCCTATCACCGCGTGGTGCAGGTTTCCTATTTGGAGCCGACATTGTCAAGACGTTCAACCATAAGAACGACCTCAGTCTCATTGCAAGAGCGCATCAATTGGTTATGGAAGGTTTTAAGGAGATGTTCGACTCAACAATCGTCACTGTCTGGTCAGCGCCAAACTACTGCTACCGTTGCGGTAACGTAGCCGCCATCTTGGAACTTGGCGAGGATGGATCAAACGCTGGTTTCCAAAGGAGATCGAACGGCGACAGAGCAGGTGGTGGTGGAGGCTGGGTGCTAGGCTCCAACGCTGGACCAAACGGCGAGAGGCGACTGAGTTCCGTACTCAACGACACTTATCAGAAAAACAGAGACGGTCCAGGACGGCGGTACCGGGTGTTTGAAGCTGCTCCCCAGGATTCGCGAGGCATGCCGGCGAAGAAGCCAGTAGCGGACTACTTCCTTTGAGGAATGGCGACATTACCGCTGGAATTGGAGTTGAACAAAGCTTGTGGATTGGATACCATGCCTCGTAAGGCCACCCCCGCGTTGCTTATGGGGTTGCTGTAGAGCACATCCTGCAATTCAGCTTGGGCGTTTGGAGTTTGTAATAAGAGTCCAATGAAGTTTATGGGGCGAAGACACCTGGCGCTTGATGCTGGATGAAGCGATTTAAGACTCCATTGTTGCTATACCGTCACCCGACCAACGCTCATGTCCCGCCATATTTCTGTCATGTCTTTACTTCTCCCAGCGCATTAATCATACAATAGATCTGATACCACTCCACTCTCCTCGATAACCACCCTTGATGATATACTGGAACGCTATGGGATGGTACGGAGATCGGATGTAACCACTCTCCCGAGCATAACTACATCTGAGGCTATACATCGACGGCGTTGAGTCTCGACCTCATTACAAGGTCATCGAACTAATGCAGACGTTCGTTAGCATCCGTAGCGAGACCTTGCGACATCATCCAGGACCTACCGTGTGCGGCTTTTACGTATCCCAAAGTTTGTAAGAGCAACGGCGCGACCGTGATCCTCGTCCGTGTTTCCAAGCTCAACATCTGGTATACGTTAGAAGCGAGGCTAGGACAAAGTTGAAGAGCGAACAACGTACCGACATCCGAGCGGGCGATCTCACGTCGGGGCATGAATCTGCGCAGGAAGTATGCCAGGAGAGGGATACAGGTGGCTAGTAAGGTTACGAAAGCTATGATTGCTTCAACCGACCAGGAAGACATGGCAAAGTTGGTATGATGGCAGTTTGTGATCGTCTTGAAAGAAGGTTGTGTTGGAGAAGGAGCGCAACCTCCATTTCGTCTTTTATCATATGCTCAAAAGCAGAATCTGTAATGGTGCTTTTGCAGGTTTTGTATGATTGGACAATATGGCTGCGCCTCCTGCCAGTCCGGCCTGACAGGGGAGGTCGTCTTTACAAAATCTCGCTATAACCGAATTGGGTCACTCGTGGTCATCATAGAGCCCAAGATTTTGTTGCGCCATGTGCTGGTGTTCTGTGGCGCGCGCAGGTTTTGCATAATTGGCCAGTTTCGCCATGGGTTTCTGCACCGTTTACAAGATCTTGCTGCAGCTCTGTGCAGCTAGGTTTTGTATGATTGGTTGGGAAGTACGCGGCTGACTGAGGTGAAGGGCCTCGGGAATCAAGGTCGTGTAGTTGGTGCGCATCAGACGTGGCGCACAGGCGCAGTATGCGTCAGATACGGCATGGAAACCAAGCTTGACCGGTCAGATATATAGGTATGCTCAAAAACCTTCAGCCTGGTCATCACCCTGATTCTTCCCCTCTTCTCCTCAGCCTCACGCTCCGCTGCACACGATGAACAACACTGTCAAGACTGACAGGCTCGATGAAGCAACATGGAATCGCTATCGTACAGTGATCGAGAGCCTATACTGGGAACACTCACTCGATAAGATCAATGCACACATGAAGAAGCATCATGGTTTCGTCGCTAGGTACTTCCGCTATTGTTGCAGTACGAGGAGAAGAATACTAATGCCAAGAAGCAAATCACAATACGAAAGGCACTTCCGCAAATGGGAACTACGAAAGAATCTCACTACTGCCGAATGGGTAGCCACCATCCGATATTTGACGAGGAACTCCATTGAGCTTGAGCAAGTGGAAGTGTTGTTCAAAGGACGCGAGATTCCTCAAAACAGAGTTTTGCAGGAGATAGCCCGGCGCAGCTCGCTTACGAAGAGCCTACAAGATGGTATATTTATGTTTAAATCTGGTTATCTAGTGCTAATCGTACCCAGGTCCCCATTGTCTTCCCAAGGATATCACCGTACGGCCACGGTCACGCGCCCCAACTATCGACGCCGCGAACAGCCTTCGAATTATACCAGCTTCTGCCGCAAGCTCGTCTTCTTCTATGCAACCCGAACCAGACTTTGGTATATTCACGATTGCCTCGCCCTCCATACACAGCCTCAGCCTGAACAGACCCACCCTTATTTCCGAGCATAGCTTGCCATTTTCTTGGATGCATTCTATCAATTTCGACTCCATCTCCCAGAGCCACTTCTCTTCCCAGCAGTTGGTGAGATGGAAAAAGCCTTCCAAGATGCAGCTCGATGCGATCTTCCATTCAAAACACCGGCCGCTCGTGGATGCTACATATGAAAGTCACAGTACAACAGTTCCCCTCTACGCGATAGCGTCACTCGTCAACAACGTAGCGTCGGGTGACCGTACAACTTCGAGTGACGCGTACGCACTGTTGAAGGCGCTTCCTTTCAAAGACGTTTTACGAAGCTCGAATGCCCTGCCAGCTTCGATCCTAGACGCTCTCAAAGAAAGAGTGTTTGCTACTGCTGTCAGTGTGGGGGATGTAGACCTTGTGTCGACCATGCTGGCGTTGAACATGGACCCTCGCGAGAAGATGATGATGGACTGCCCAATTGGGTCGGAACCGATGTATCCACTTCAGCTTGCCGTCGCTGCAGGTCATTTCGCGGTTGCGATAACACTTACTTCGAACATGTGTCGAGGAGCAACTCAATCACAACTTGAGGACCCAATTTACCACATCTTTGAAGGAGAGGTGTTAGGTCGTCGTTTCTCGAAACATCTTCCCAAACTCAGCGAATCAGAAAAGACAGAGCTAAAGTGCATCGCTCTTGGCGCTGGGGCCAAACCTCATCGGAAATGCCTCGGGGTTGATAATAACAAGGTTTCCGTGAAATCTCTCAAGCGGATGGTGGAAGCTTCAGAGGCAGGGATGATCGCATGGCTAGAAGCAAGCCTACTAGAATACTATTTTGCTAAGTACCAACATGCAGGGCCGCTACCGGAAGCCCGAATATCCTTGGCCATAGACGTTTTGCAATTCGTTCTATCCGAGAAGCAGCACCATCTGCCATCGAATGACCCAAGACTCAAGACAGCAATGTTTAGGGCACTTCATGCCGCTCTCCATCCGCACCATGAGAGGTCTGTGGGGATGATTCTGAAAGCATTCGCTTTTCTTGGATATCACCTTGACGATGACGACGCTTACGTGGGCGGTTCCAGCGAGCATGGCTTCATCGACAGATCAATCCTGGACGCGTTTGACGACACAAACTGGAATCTGGCAGCGTCTTTGATGATAACAAAAAGGTTAATGGCAAATTCAGGCATGGCTGATCCAATTAACGAGCAACAATCACAGCTTCAACATGCCATTCAAAAGAACGATCCAAGACTTGCTTTTTATCTGTACACCATGATGAGGTCGAAAAACGTCAAATTTAAGTTTGGAAGACGCATGGTCGAGCTCGCAATCAGTCACTGCGACTCGGATATGGCTATCGCCATCGTCGAGGATATGTACCCCTGGAGCATAATGGTTCTCACGGTTCTACTGAGTCGCGGTCAGATCATGACAGTCAGTACCCTTCTAGGAAGGAATCCGATTTGGAAAGATGCACTGGAAGCTGCGAGCGGGCACAAGGATTTTGAGCCCTTAGAGGCCATGATTTTCCACGGCTTAGGGGTGCCATTCATCAATTTCCAAGAGGGGAAACATGTGGTATTGGAGCAGAGCCACATTCAGCTTTGTTTCCGAACTGTTGCTCATCATTGCATGGCAACGAACGACTACGACTTATTCCAATGGCTGCTACACGTCGGCATGGATCCCGATGAGTTCTATCTAGAACATCTTGATAAGGATCGGATCATAAAAGGCCCAGGGTCGCACTGCTCTCTTCCCGGGGGCATAGGTACGCGATATCTTGAGGATGGCTGTATGTTGCCGTCTCTCCTCGCCATCGCGGCTGAAAGAAACAATAGGGGTTGGATGGAATTCCTTGCGGCTAAAGGTGTCTCTGTAATCGATTCGATGGCGTTATTGCAGGCAATCAAGTCGAGGGCGACCTGCGCCACTGTGCGTTTTCTTCTAGACGCAGCAAAGGCGGGGAAGTCTTCAGTTAAACGAAACTATGGTGTGGCGGCACTTCGCCAAGCAATTCGTTACCGCGACATGGATCGGATCGGTATGCTGTGTGGTATTGTCAACATTGATGAGATCGAGCCATTCAACGAAGAGTTTGTGGAGAACGAACCTGCGGTCAGTCCTCTCGGCGAAGCAATCATTGCGAAAGATACCGAAGTCGTTCGGGTACTGTTGAATCATGGTGCGAGTCCAACGGCATACGTATCCTTTGATGGCTTGAAAATGTTGGAGCACATCAAGAGTCATATGCAACGAGTAACTCCCTTACTGGCCGCTATCGACGTACAAAGTCTTCGCCTTGTGAAGATATTGGTGGAGCACGGGGCAGAGCTGCAGTACACACGTCACATGGGTGTCACCCGCACACCTTTGCAAAGAGCCGCCGAGACTGGTGGCTTCGACATCGTGGAGTACCTCGTCGGTCAGGGTGCTGCCATGGATACGATCCCCGTATACTCCGGCGGTACTGCGTTGCAACTCGCTGCTATGAATGGATTCTGCGGCATCGCGGCATTCCTGCTGGAGAATGGGGCCGATCCAAACTACCCGCCGGCCAAGGGCGATGGACGGACAGCTTTCGAAGCAGCAGCAGAGTGGGGTCATATCGACACGATGTCGCTTTTGATGCAGTGGAACGCCAACCTCGATGCGCAGTTTGGAGAGCCCCCCGAAAGTCAGTACGAGCGGGCTCGGCGGTTTGCTGAGAAGAACGGTTTCATGGCATCAAAGCGATTCGTTGAACACCTCTATGGGCAAAGGACAAGAGACGAAAGCTGGCCTGCGGGTTTGGCGTTGGATTCGATGTGATTGATATGCTGATAATGCAGAGAACTGCGGATATCTCTAGGACGCGTGTTGGGTTAGTTCAAATAGAATGCGCCACTCGTATCTTACCCAGTCTATAGGTTTAGTATGGTTATCGACTTGCGTTCCGGGTATGGACTTGATGATGGCTGGTGGACCCAAACTATGACGTCTCATTAAGATGCAGTTATAAGCTTAGCTCGCTAGTGTAGCTATCACCTCGTTCTCTCGACGCCTTTTCACTACAGTCCTCCATGTGGACAAGTTCGACCTCCTCGTCGTTTTCCTCGTGCCGAACTGCAAAGGTCCTGGTGTATGTGATCGTGTTGGGTTCAACGGCCTGGCCTTCTTTCCCACCTCTTTCACTTCTCACCGTGTCTACAATCTGAGTTGTGCCACGACTTCTTCTACTGCCGTTTCCGTTCGCGCTGCTTCGCTGTGTGCTTCCTTGTATCGAGCTGATGACCATAGGGATTGCGCGGATGAAGATCAGGCGGAGAGTCGGGATGCAGGCGCAGATTACTCCGACGTGGAGCTCGTACATTGACCATAGGACGACTTTGGCTTGCTTCCATGTATAGTTATTGTCTCCGTCGAAGAAAAAGAGCGACTTCAGGCGTAGGATGGACACTACTGTGACACTGCGGAAACGTAAGCTTGGGGCTAGATGATGTAATGTGGGCTGCAAGGGCACTGACAAGGTACCAAGAGAGAACATCAAAGCCACGCCGAACTTTTTCACCCATGTCATCTGGAGATGATAAACCTCGTATAGAGGAATAGCTATCATCCAGACGTCCAACAAAATGCCGATAATGGCATGCATCCATACTACCGCATCCATGTTGAGACATTGTGTTGGTCTTTCCATGTCCCATGCGTTCCAGAAATCGCTAACCTACATTGCCAAGGACGAAATTAGCTGGTGTACCATGAATCTCGTGAGTAAGCTTAACGTACCGGTAGACATGGGATCGCGGCGGGAATGAAAATGGAGAAGGTCCATAGTCCAACAAAGACAATAGTCCCCCACAAAAGCTTTACTGTTCGCCGTCTGAGGAATATCCGTAGGAAGAAGAAGAGGAGTGTAATCTTGACCAAAGCAGCCTGAATGAGGTATAGTAGAGTGACGACGTATAGCCAGCGTATAAAGTTATCGATGTGGTCAAATGGGACGTTCCAAACGTCGACACCGATGCCATTCGGAAGCATACACCTGTCGACAATAACGACAGAGGGTATGGCTAGAAGCACCGTAAATATCACAAGGAAGTCATCCCAATTAAGCCCATTGACGTTGAAGAGCGCGTGGTAACCAAATCGTAAGAGGATGCAGGAACCTGTCACTACGGCCAAGACGATGTTTGCGACGCGTAAATGGGTGATTTCCGAGCGAACAGGCACGTCGCAGAGAGCTGAAGTTACGTTCTTGGTGGCTGTGAGAGTGTTGTAAGCAAACGTTCAGTGCATGGCGGCGAATTGAACTTACTCAAGCTCTCCTTCACCGTACACGACGAAATTACGCATTTTTCCGCTGCACTCTGGAGCTTAGCGTTGGCACATACGCATTGCTTATCCGAAAGTTGGCAGGGTGAATCAACTACAGCTGTCGCCAGGCACAATTGCTATAACCATTAGCTACATATCAGTTGGCCCATGTTGGCTGTTACATACCGCGCAGCTTGGAAGCGAGCCGATCGCCTTGAGCGCGGCGGCGTCCTGTGCCACCCCGATCGAGGCCCATGCCGCGAGGACCAGTAGTAGGTACAGCGGCCATCTCATGTCTCGTCACGTTCGGCGACACACAGTATCCAAGTCGAAGTCGTCTGGCAAGAGGTGAGAACAAAGAAGGAATCAACGTTCTAGCAAAGGGGCCTTGCCGTTGCAAGGCCGCGACTTGTACATATGCTAGAAGGCCTTAGCTTGGCTGATCCGATCCGCCTCGTGGCTTCCTGCAGCGTTGCGTGCTAACAAAGTTAAAATGTGCGGTACCCTTGAGTCTCCCAACCAGAGGAGCCGCACCCCTCAACGTCGTCCAACGGTTCCGAGCTCAGCTGAACTGCCACCTGCGCAACTCATTTTGAACGTTACTTGAACGGAGTAGACTTGTAGCTGCCTGTGTGCTGTACAGCATGCTGAACGCATCGACGAACGTTGTGCTGAAGTCGCCAACATTCGCGCCCAAGGATTTTGGGACACATGGGCTAGGCCGGTACCCTACACAGAGCTGGCTTGTTAAACTTCGACGGTCCAGTCCACACGTCACAGGCCAGCCGAGGCAGTGCTAAGGCCCAAGGGGATGTCGGGATGTGAACTAACGATGTCGCGCAGTTTGCGCGATCATGCGCGATTCGTTCTTACTTCCACCTTAGGACGGCCAGATCGAGATGGTGAGGTAGAAGTCTCGGGTGCTTCTAACCGCTTCAAGGACTTATCACCCTTCATTAGATATTTGTAGTGACCGTCTCAGTCCTTGCGCAATATGCTCTCCACATGTGGTGTGATCCAGGGTTGTGCTGATTTTGGTGGCGCTTTCTTGTGGTGGCCGTCTCCGCGCGGAGTAAGCCCCGAACGGTGGTTCCTGCCGCTTCGCTAGCGCGGTACATGGTAGGCCCGCTCACGTCAACGCCTCGCGCTTCCAGCACAGCTACTCCATATCGGTACCCGTACGACGTTTGTCCAATCGCGAAACGGCTCTAGTGGGAATCTTGTACGAAGCGAGACGAGAGGTGGCAAAGAAACTCTATAAGAGATCAACAATCCCAATGCGGTTGCTCATGCCGAGGCTTGCCAGATACTTTGGTCATTGGAGGGCGAGTATAACAAGAAGATTGCGACATCGAATCCAAAGCGGAGGAAACGCATGGTGAAGGACCTCTCGTTACTACGTTGATTGTGTTCACGAGTGTGTGGAGCAATTCGACTTCGGAGTCACCGACTCGATTGCTCTTACCCCATCAAATGTACACCATCTCCAGACTGGACCGCGTCGTTGTCCATGCAGGAACGTCATTACGGCTGCTTAGTAGCCGCCAGACACCCGCCCGTGGCATGTTCATGGAGTTTTCCGCTTCGGTACATCACCACCAGTCCATGAATTCCTCCAAGCTAGGGACGACCTGTCAGGTACGCATGAATCGCGTGAAATATGCGGACAAACAATCCATTTTAGCCTACCGGATGTATGCGACCTTTTGAAAGAATGGGTTCCCAGTCGAAGCTGCCGCTCGTTGTATGCTAACATTGCAAGTAATCTCGTGGCGTATAAACTAGACTGCGGACTGAGAGTTAGTTCTGCTGGGCTCATCCGAGCCCAACTGTCCTCCGAGGAGCCTCAAACTGTATCTAGGGACCGGCCGAGTTAGTACTTTGACGCAATGCAGGCGTACCCGATGCCTCACGTCCCGTACACGTGGAGCCGAGTGCGAGGGCCCGTCGTTAGGTAGGCTTGTGCTTAGCCTGCTTCCAACAATGGTACAGCACGGCGCGGCAGGGCGCGATTGCCATTGAACAGCTCGATACCATGGCGAAAAGGGATCGAAACTTTCTTGGAAGACTGCTGTTATGAGCCAGGTTCACGGATATGCTAATGCGGGCGACATGTCGACATTCTCTCTTTTTATAGCAAACCAATAGATGCAGTAGGTTTAGCACGCTGGCGAGTCCTGGTGATCGTGAAGGATATAGACCAAACAAGCTCTACTAATGCGGTGTTGACGAAACTTCGCAAACAATGTGATCGTGAGGCGGTGTGCTTCTACTTAGCCGTTGACGGATTGCCAATATAGTCGGTTGTTGTCGCAAGGTAGAACTCGGGAAATCAGTGGTGGGTTAGAAAGAGAAACACTGCGAGTATTGCATGCATTAACTGGGATATCGAAGACGCGGAAGATGGCAAAAAACTGGAGACGTCATTTGAAGTCAGGTGCATCTCGCAGACATTCACGTCTTGTCCAGCCTCATTTGTCACGCAATTCTTGATAGTCACCCGCCATGAAGTGCAAACAAAAGGGCAAAAAGAAGCTGAACATACTCCTGCTCGAACCTAGTTCGTGGCAGTCTGAGGAGCAAAAACATACAACAGCGAGGATTCGCTAGTGGTCACCCACCTAACTACTAATTCGCCGGTACACTGCTTGTATATGGCTGAGCGGACAGGAAGCCTAATTCTCAGTGTCCTATGGTCGTATGTGAAAGAATAGATGTTCTGTGGTCTATATATAGTGAGTAGGGGCAGGTATGGTGAAGCTGCACCGGAATGGACAAGCACCTCTGGATACACGTAGGAAAGCCTAGGAGCAGGATCATGTCCTGTCCAGCGTACAAGCAGGCAAGACTGTCGGTCATAAAGAGGGGATTTCGGGCCCAACCAGCAGACCCCAGCTTTTGCACGCATGCAGTGCCACTGCTCGGGGTGCTCTATTCTGGAGTTGAATGTGTCTCTATCATAGACACTAGGAGATTTGCAAGAAATATACGGATGCGTAGGCAACGAGACTACCAAACAGTACGATGTTGGAGAGACAAAGACGAGCAGTGTTGAACCTGGAAGAACCCCTTGGTCGCGCGTCGGCCAATGAGAGCGGGTATGACGTTTAGCGCGGGAGCTTGGCTGTGGTTCCCTTGCAACGTCTCGTCGCAAGCCGACATTGCGCAGCACCAACCGTACCCGTGAGCTCTATCACAACCAGCTGCATCTTCCATCTCGTCCCATCCGTCTCCGCCCCAGTCCGTTGCGCCAAGTCGTCAAAGTGCGGTTCCCACACCTCGCCGGTCAATCGTCCGCCATGGATTTCTCAGACATCTTGTGAGTCGAGCTCAAGCTGGGCGAAGCTGTCCCGAAGCTAGGCAGCAGCTTTCCAATGAGCCATTGGGACTTGGGAGTGTTGAAGATCAAAGCTAACTGGGCTCGTAGTCGCATGGTGAATTTCGCCGTTGCCGTATTCGTGGTCCTCGGTGGTATCGCGAAGCTGTTCCCCTTCAACGACTTGTGAGTGTACCCG